ATCACGAGGTCGAGTTCTTGACGTTTCGGCACCGAAATGTGCTCTCGGTGAGGACCCCTGGCGCACGAATAATTCATGCCGTCCTATGCACGTTGCCCTCGTACCGAGCTTTCTTGCACGCCTTTTTGCGACCTTCCCATAAACTCCACAGGTACTTAAGGCGATGTACACACGTCAGTCCGCGATCCAGGGCTTTCAGACAAAACCTGCCCAGTGGAAGGTGGGCAACGTGCGGCATTACAGCACGGCAATGAACACTGATTTCATGCTGCAGGCCCAGGTACGTGTCACCCACATCCTGGCATACGTTCGAGATCACCCGTCAGTAGCCCATAGGTGATCTACTAGCCCAAATCCCTCATGCATTGAATGCATGCTCTACAGGAACGCATCAAGGACCGTGGAGAGGCGTTGGGAATAATTCTTTTCAGCGATCAAACCAATCTCTCCAACAATGGCCGACAGACAGCCCACCCCGTGATGATGGCATTCGCAAACACGCCGGAGTGGGCAAGGTGGGCGGAGGGGGGCACGGAGATGATAGGCAATCTGCCTAACATTCCTGGTGACCTGTTCCCCGAACAGAAGTGTGCCGCCTTCCAAGATGCGCTGGACATTGTGGCAAACCCGCTCATGGAGACATCCCAGCTTGACGGGTGAGATGTCGTGTAGCAATGCAACGACTATGTTGTACCCCCCAGCATCCCCAGTGCGGCTCTCATCCTTGCATGCTACTTTTGCGGTTTCCAGGGGGGGGATACAGGTGGTGGATCATGCGGGGGGGGAGCACACGGTCTACCCGGTGCTCTATGCCTATGTGACTGATCACCCGGAGGGGTGCAAGGTTTCTTGCACGATGCAGTGCAAGTCCTTCAGGCCCTGCTCCATCTGCCTTGTGGATCAGGACAACCTGAACAAGGTCCAGCCGGACACTATCAACCGCACGGTGAAGGGACAGAAGCTCATCTACAAGAAGATGCAGCGAGCAGTACGAGCCAAGAAGAAGAAGGAGCTGGCCGCTCTTAAGGCCAAGTGGTCCACGCACCAAGTGCCTGTAGGTCGCCCATGCACTGCGTTTCCTAAGCTGCTGTAAGCTCCGTACCCGCATGCCATAACATTCCTGTCTTTGCATTCATGCCCTTGCATTCCTGCCCTTTGACCGAGTCCCATGCATCCCAACCCTTGCATTTCTGTGTAAGCAATCTTGTCTTTGCATTCCTGCATTTGCATTTGTATCTTTGCCTTCCTGTCTTTGCCTTCCTGCCTTTGCATTCCTGCCTTTGCATTCCTGTCTTTGCCTTCCTGCATTTGCATTCCTGCCTTCGCATTACTGTCTTTGCATTCCTGCTTTGCGTTCCTTGTCTTTGCCTTCCTGCTTCTGCATTCACGTCTTTGCCTTTCTGCCTTTGCATTCCTGCCTTTGCCTTCCTGCCTTTGCATTCCTGCCTTTGCATTCCCGCCTTTGCATTCATGCCCCTGCATTCCTGTATTTGCATTCCTGTCGTTGCATTCATGCCCATGCATTCCTGCCTTTGCATTCATATCGTGTCTGCTGTGCAGTGTGTGCTTTGGAAGTGGGAGTTCTCAACCACTTCGTGGGGCAACATCTACCTTGCTCTTCCGCCAGACATCATGCACATGATTGAACAGGGCTTCTGGCTCCATGCGATGCGGTGCTTGGCTGCCAAGCTGACGAGGAAGGAGCGGAAGATCTTGCTTGAGTACGTAGTGCCCGGTTGCTCTCTCTTGCCCCAAACACGCTTGGCCATGGAGGCTCTCTTCCACCCAGACCACTCATCCATGCCCACCCGCTTTCTCACACTCATGGCAGGCGTTTCAACGCTCTGAAGGCTGTGACGCCGTCATTCCTGCTCAGGCTCCCAGGGGCGTGGATGTACTTCACTACGACGGCGGGTTTCGCAGCATCAGAGCACCGTGCTATGATGCAGGTGCTCCCGCTGATTCTGTATCTTCCGGGCCGCGAGGACATCTACAAGGCGGTCCTGGCGATAACGAGTTGGTACAAGCAGTTCATACGTGCGGAGTACCACACCGACTCCAGCCTCAAGAAGATGGACGAGTCCGCCACAGAGTGAGTCGGCTCACGCACTGGGACATTGGGTTCCACTGTATATCGTCCCCACCCCGTGCACTAGTCATCTGATCCTTCCCTATTACAATGGTCCCTTGCTTTTAGCCACAGATCCCTCCTTCCACCCCTCGTTCCCCCCCAAAACAGGGACACGCCTTCCCACTCTTGTCCCTCCCTTCCTTTAGTTGGCCCCTCCTTCCTCCTCTGGTACATTTCCCATCCCCCGGTCCCTCCTCCCCCCGCTGGTACCTTGTCTGGCCTACTCGTTCTGGCCCCTCCCTTCCATCCCCTGGTCCCTCCTTCCATCCCCCGCTCCATACTAGTAGGATGGTGGCTTTACTAGAGGTGGCATTTGACAACCAGAAGTCAAAGTGGCACATCGTGAAGATACATGGCGTCAGCCACGTCACCTCCTCTATCACGGCACGTGGCGTCCCCCAGGAGTACTCATCGAACTGCTATGAGCACGGACACAAAACAACAGTGAAGAGGCCATCTCGCGGGTCAAACTGGAAGAATGTGGGGGAGCGCATCGTCAAGAAGCACATCCAACACGCTGTGGTGCGTCAGCTAACCCGCGAGGTCGGGGGCGACGCGTCGTACGAGACGGCCATGAAGCAGGTATGGAGCGGTTTGATGGGTGGCCAAAGGGGTGGAGGGACTCGAACTCCATGCGTTTCCAGGTACCCTAGCTGCCCTATTCCCATATTTCTCCAAGTGTATAGACGGACCTACCCCTTAGCCAACTCCGTAACAACCTCGTGCCTAACACGCCACTGCCGCTTCCATCCTCCAAATGCCATACACGGCACAGGCATCCCTGAGGAACCAGCGTGTCCTCACCAAGACCCACAAGAAGATGGAAGCGGGGGACACACGGGATCCTGTCTTCCGCAATTACATGAGGACCGCGGGGGTGCTGGCGATGCACGAACTGGAGGAGCGCCTTCGCCTCGCCAAGATTAAGACGCGGACAATCTTTGTACGTTAACTAGACCCTGAGGCATGGGTTTGGGGATTGGGATGGAACGTGAGGGCGGGGCAGGGAGTGGCAGGGTGACTGGGCACCTTATGGCAGGGAGGAGATGGCCGTGAGTGGGAGGGAGTGGTATGGCTTGGAAGGTCAAGGGACGGAATGGACAGTGATGGGAGGGAATGTATGGGCATGGCATGGAATGGGAGGGTATGGACAGGGACGGGAGGGAATGGATTGGGAAGGCATGGAATGGGAGGGTATGGACAGCGATGGGAGGGAATGGATGGGGATGGCATGGAATGGGAGGGTATGAACAGCGATGGGAGGGAATGGACGGGGATGGCATGGCCTGGGAGGGTATCCCAGGGATGGGAGAGAATGGATGGGGATGGCATGGAATGGGAGACTGCATTGACTACTTGGCTACCTCAGCTCTTAGGGTCCCATTTAATAAATGGGCATGGCATGGAATGGGAGGGTATGGACAGAGATGGGAGGGAATGGGAGGCCATGGACGGGGATGGGAGGAAATAGGAGGGAATGCACGGGGATGGGAGGGAATTGGAGGGAACGGGGTAGGAAGGAATCACTGAGAATGGGAGTGGGAGTGGGAGGGAAAGGGCCGCAAACAGCAAGCTCTCGCAGGATTTGGAGAGAGAGTCAGGGAATAGCAAGGAATGAGTCAAGTGGGACGGGGAGGGGGCCTTGGGAGCGGTACCAGTGGGATTGGTGGGGTTTGGCCAGTGAATGGCATGGAATGGCAGCAATTTGGTGGGACCGGGCTCTCTTTTTTCCACACCCTAAACCCTACCGTGGCCCCTCTGTCCACGTCTCCCCTCTATCCCCTCCTGAGCTCAATCCGTCTAATCATACAATATGACTATCATGTGCCATGGTACCATGCCTCCTTGCCAAGCGCTGCCCTCCCATCTACGATAATTCAAGGCACACTCGTGCCCCCTCTCTACACCCACCCGCCTTCCCTGAACTCCCCCCATTGCCCCCTACCCTAAACCCAGGTCCACACAGCCATGGCCATCCCCCCCCATGACAGCATGGAGTGGACCTCAAAGGGCCAGTTCGTGAAGGCGAGCCCTCACGAGCGCCTCTTCTCTGACGTCTCGATCAGGCCTGGCGGCGGCGTGGGGGAGCCGTGGTATGGTCGTGTCCTGGTGCTTTTCCATTACCAGGATGGGGAGGTGGAGAAGCGCGGGGCGTTCATCCAGTACTACACCGAGGCGCAGAAGCCTTGCCCCATCACCGGGTGCAAGCGCCTGACGCCAACCTTGGGCATCGACAACTATGCCGTTGTGGACGTGGACAGCATCCTGAGCCTTGCACATGTGGTTCCGTGCTGCACGGACCCGAAGTACCGGCTCGTTAACCGGTTTCTTTTCTGAACCACCGGTTGCGCTCTTATTTATGCATGACTTTGTTTAAATTGACCTTGTTTTAGAGGTTGACAATTGAGTGACTCGTACTGAGCATGATACTTTTAGTTTGCAGCGACAACCATTCACAGTGCTCGCAGCTGGTGATGACCCCACTAATAATATAGCAACAAACCCTATCATTTTTATTTCCCACACATGATATATTCCATACATAAACAATTACGTTCGAACATAACCAAAAAAACACAGGAGTGTACTACGATTCGACAGACGCTTATCGCTTTGAAATCATAGGGTTTAGAAATCGTAGCTTTTGCAAAACATACATTTTACATTTACACCCTGCCAAATGCTACGCGAACGTTCTGCGAATGGTATTTGAATGTTCTGCAGATAGTCGGCATCCTCGCTCCACCTCGAATGGTTTTTAGATTGCCACTTTTTTGCGATGTAGGATGTGGGGACAAGATGTAAAAATATTTTTTGTGTTCAACAATAAACCAGGTTGAATGGTCACATTACTGAAGTATGCTGCGTGGTTGAATTGTATGGGATATGCTACTCACCCTCGTCACATGCATTCGTTTGTTAGGCGTTCTGGTTGAGTAGCCGAGAGTAACAAGCTAGTGATCGCCAAGACGTACAATAATCACTATGGCGTTTCTTTGGGGCACTTGGAGAGGGCTTTGAGAATCCACTCGTAGTACCGGCACTCTTACACCAAGGTAGTGTACTAGCTCAAAAAACAAAGTTGAAAGTTGAGACCTCGTGGGCATGAATGAAGTCAACCCTCTCGCCCATCAGCGGTTGCCACCATAGATGATGCAGCAGCGAGGCTGCACGCAATCCAGGATGGAAACAGCTGATGCACGAGATGTACTGCCGCCCATTCCTCTGCAGACACCGTGGCCACAACTAGTGGTTGTGCAGCACGGTTACATGGGCGTTTCGATGCCTCTGTCGCCTAGAGGTCACCTGGGGTGAGGGAGCTGGAGATGATGTGCAGCGCGAAGTGCTTGCTGACGTAGAAGTTGCCGAGGACGAGCGCGACGGGAAGAACGTCGGAGCCGCCCTTGAGCACGACGGTGGGCAGGATCCTGCCGGACAGCTTCGTGACCTTGGCGCCCTCGTACGTAGGGAACTTGGTGAAGCGCGCCGCCTTGCGCAGCTTGAACTTGCTGTACACGCCCTTGAGCATGTGGTAGCGCGCCACGCGCCTGCGCTCGCCCGCGGAGAAGCGCCACCAGTTGCGCACGACCTTCAGAGGGTTGACCGGCTGAAGGACCGTGACGGGGGTCGCTTTCGAGGTTCCGTTGACGCGCGTCACCATGCGGACTGCCAATGCGGGTTGGGGATAGCAGACGGTGCAGTGTCAATATTGCTCAAGGCCCAAGGGACCAGTTTTAACGAGATAAGAGGCGAGGCGTCCCGAATAGCTCCAAGATGTACAGAAGAGGATTCTGAAATATCCTGTATCTGCTTTTGGGAAGTAACCAAACTTACAGAACTTCTCAAGAAGTGGAGCTGAGCCGGCGTAAGGAGACGCCCGGAGGGCGGAGAGCACTTTGTCCGCCTCCTCAGTGCTGATGCTTACGGTGTCGGCAGGCATGGCTCCTTCCACGGTGACAACGACAGCCAGGAGGGCCGCGCAGAGGAGAAAGCAGGAAGATTTCCGCATTTTGTCGAGCGACGGAGCAGGGGTGAAACTGTGAGTTTTGCAGGACATCTCAAAATTCCAGGATCAGAAATACGGAGTAGGTATACAGTAGGTATGGCATAGGTACGTCTGCTACGGAGTAGCCTTGCTATACGAACAACTATACCTACAATATAGGAGAGATCCACATTTTTGTGATGGATGAACGGTGGTGCTAGCCAGGAGGGAAATTGATGTTTGGAAGTCGGAGGTGCTTCTGGTTTGGAATGCAGATGAGTCCCACATTTTGAAGTGGATTTCAATGTGGATTTCAGAAATTCAGCGACCGAATACAGGCAGTGCGGCTCGGGCACCACAGGCAAGTGGCGCTCATCGTGCCTGAGGGCGTGTGAAGTTTTGAACAAAACGGGATTGGAGTCCGCAATTTCGTTCGGTTATCATATTTGCGAAATGAGCGAAACGATTCGCGAAAACCCTCAATAACATATGTCACCTATGGGTACGTCCCGCTAAAATTACAGGGCTCGCTCGCGCACGTCCGAACAGTGTCCGCATTTGAGGTCCAGCATCACCACACACCCTGTCATGTTCCGACGGTGTGCATTGTTACTCGCAAGCGATTTAAAAGAAAAGTTATCCACACCCATCTGATTTCGTTGGACCAGTCCTTATCGTCGCACGGCCTTGACGAAGTATTAACGATTCTACTTTGTCGTCGCATAACTGAGTCGGGGCAGCGCGTCCGTACCGCGTTGTGCCCTCGACTGGGTGTCGAAAACAGGTTCAAAAATCGCAATTTCGGAACTTGCTTTTGGATCCTCGAATGATGACGAGTCCGCACCCGATGTACGTTCATTCGGGAAGGACTTCTGCATTTATTTTTTTTTCAAAAAGTCACACGCCCTAAACGACGAATTTGGAGGAAGCAACGCAATACGACATCGTGGAGTCGAGTTGGCTTTCAACAGGTGGGGCCAGCGTGGCCTGATCAAACACCGCATTGGCTGAAGTCGTAAGCGACGGTGCCGAAGGGGATGCGAAAGGGATGCGAACGACACATTCCTCGCAAATCCTTGTGACTCGACAGAAGCCTAGCCTAAAATTGTACAGAACCCCAACTTCACCGACCTAAGTGATCTTAGCCGAAGTGACTGGCCAAATGTGTGCGTAACACTGGTCGGCAAGCGGAAAAGTGCGGAGGCTTGGCTCCGATATAACAACATTAAATGTGATACTGCTATCATTTGCGATTCATTTCATGGAGGTTGTTATGAATGAACAAGCAGAGTAGCGCGGAAATGAATAACCAAGTGTTGAATCATTGAATGACGATAAAAGGAATCGCCAGCCAAGATATAGGAACACCATATCTATTCTAACCGTGAGATATGAAGGTTCGGGAAGGAGATCGAAGTGTCTCGAAGTGACGAAGCGAGGCCCAGAGAACTCTCGAAGGTCGAGCTAGAAGGTCTTAAAGCCCGCGGCTAAAATAGCAGACCTGGAAACCACTTGAATTTGGTGCTTTGAAATCCGTCTAAGTATAGAATGGAAGGCAGCTTTGAGTTCAAGCCTGAACAAGAAAAGTGTCGAAACAAATTCTGGTCGAGCTTGCTGAATGGAGGAAAGGCGAAAGAACTCGTTTTGCTGTTTGTTGCGACACGCTCATTTGGATGCGAATTGCGCAAATACATTGTTGTGCATCGCACGGAGTTTCTACGACGGGTTTGGGCGAGCAGCTTGCGACGAGGAAATACAGGAGCTTTATGACTGGGGAATTCAAGTGAGTTCCAGGTCTGCAATTCCAGAATCAGCTACTGTTCGCCAAAAAAACACTGTTCTTCTCGCATTTTCACTGTTCACGGAACCACGAATTCGGTCGCACGACGCGTATTGCACTGTTCACCGAATGGTTTCGTGCAAAAACAGTCGCCAAACCGCCACGGTCAGATTCCGCTTTGCAAAACGAAATGTTTTTATTCTGTTTCGTTTACTCTAAAGATCAAGTCATGTGCCAAGTTCAAGAGCAAATTAAACAGCCGACTTGATTGCTATTATAGCCACGGGCTTTAAGAAGTTGAGGCGGTTATGTCAGAATGGTCTGCAACCGTCCCGAGGCTTCGGGTGTGTTCGAGCGTATGCGATAGCAGTACCGCTCGGCAAGGAATGGAGAATTCCTTACAACCCCCCCCCCCCCGCCCGCGAATGTGATCTATATCAGCCACGTGCTTGCGGGCCAAATAATTCGTAAGCATCGAGAGTTACTATATCTGGTCAGAAGGCACCCACGTTTCGTCATCGCTGGTACGATTAGTCCAAGGTATTAGAAAGTCAACGCGTCGTCCTTGGCCGTCAATACGAATCCTATGGCTCAAAATCTTTGAAGGCTCGATGGTTGTCTCTGCTGGTGGCTGTACATCCGGGACCAATTGATGTCGAGCGATGTCCGATGTATCAGGTACGAAGGGTCGCAACAGGCTCACGTGGAACTTGTTGTGAATACGCCAATCATCAGGTAGGCGCAACTGGCCGGTAACCGGTGTCACCATCTTCACGATCTTGAATGGGCCACAGAAACGTTGTCGTAATTTCGTCGGTAGTGGCAGCCGTAAGTTCTTGGTGTCCAAAAGGACTAGTTTCCATGCTGCCATTGTAATATCCCGTCGATGTAAATCCGCGTACCGTCGAGCAGTAGCGTTCGCCTTGCGAATAAGTTTGACAGCTTTGTTTCGGGCAGTCTATAATTCTTCGACGAATTGCTGCGACCGTGGTACTTGACTCTCAACGTTGGTAGAGATAGGTACTGTCGGGTCCATCCCGGAATTGAGGTAAAATAGGGAGTGAATAGTCGTAGCTAAGGGCGCGTTGTTGTAGGAGAACTCCAATCTGGGAAGCGTGTCCTCCCATTTGTCTCGGTCGGGGCAGTTTATCCGTATCAGCTGTTCCATTGTTTGGTTTGTCCTCTCTATCTGACCGTCTGTTTGGGGATGATAAGTGGATGAGAATTGCAGGCGCGTGCCGTACCGAGCCCACGTATCCTACCAAAATTTCAACGTTAACTTCGGTTCTCGATCGCTAATGATTTCTGCTGGTATCCCGTGTAGGCGAACAACAGTCGAGATGAACAGTCGCGCGGTTTCTTTGGTTGTGATGGTTGTACGACATGGTGTGAAATGCGCCATTTTCATCAATCGGTCGACGACAACCAATACTGTATCGTTTCCGCTGGATCCGGCCGGCAGATCTGTGATGAAATCCATCATCACATGTTGCCATGTGCATTGAGGTGGCTCTAGGGGTTGCAACAGTCCTGTCGGTCTCTGATGTGATGATTTCATTCGCTGGCAGATCGGGCATGCGACCACGTAACGCTGCACGTCCGTCACCATATTTGGCCACAAATAGAACCGCTGCAACGCTTTCAGAGTTTTATCAACCCCGAAATGTCCCGATAAATTTGAATCGTGGACTTCTTGGATTAGTAATTCGCGAAGTAGACGATAACTTGGGACCCAAATTCGATCTGTCCCGCTTCGTAGGTAATAGACGCCTTTCCGTGTAGTGATTTGGAGATGGCCAACATTTACGAAGAAGGGGTTAGTCAGATACCCGTGTGTAAATAGTCACTTAGTAGCGAGTTCCTCTGGGCGACTAATACTGCTGCGAGTTGGGCAGACGGTAAGGAGAGGACGTCAGTAATATTGTTGGCGCTCTTTTTGTACGTGATCTTGTACGTGAAATTGGACTCCAGATAGTCCAGCTAGCATATCTGCAGCGGGTTGAGATTCGGCTGCATCCTCAGGTACTGTAGAGATTTATGGTCGGTTCGCACCGTCACATCTGCTCCAATTAGGTAGCACCTCCAGATTTTGAACGCGTGGACGATCGCCGGCATCTCCTTGTCGTGTATCGGGTAGTTGCGCTCGGAAGATTGCATTTTCAGAGACTCGTACGCATTGGTTGAGCATTGCTCCGATGCGATGTCACTTTCGTCGGCAATGACTTCAAAGGGCCGTTCCAGGTCAGCGATGCGAAGTACGGGTGGCGACATTAGAAGAGTTTTTAATGCCTCGAACGCAGCTTGCTGCTTCTCCCCCCACTCGTAAGAAGTCCCCTTCTGTAGAAGATCGGCTAGAGGACCAGTTAACCCCGCCATGTTGGGTATAAACCGCCGCACGTAATTCTCAAACCCAGAAATGATTGCAGCTGTTGTAGATTTGTTGGCGGTTTCCACTCCTTAATAGCCCGGAGTTTTTTCATGTCTATTTGAATCCCCTCCATGGAGATCACGTGCCCTAGGAACTCCAGTTTTTGTTTTAAAAACTCGCACTTGGAGCCCTTGGTGATGAGACGATTCTGCTGCAACCACTGAAAAACCGCTTCCAAATCCTTTAAATGTTGCTCCCGAATCTTGCTGTGGATCAGGATGTCATCCAACTTCTGCACGAAGTCGCTCGTTGTCCTCCAGCACTGTAGCCATGTACGTGTTCATGGCGTTGAACTGCTCCCGAATTCGTTGAACTGAGTTTGGTCCATTTGGCGAATGCTCCGCTGGGGCAAGGGGAAATTTGTAGTGTGCTTGTACTCAGGTAAGTGCAAACGCTATCGTAGTTGGGTGAATTAATCAGTCTAATTCGCGAGCAACCGCTTTGTAGCTTAATTGAGGGACTTTCTCCCCCCCCCCAAAAAAAAATTCAACTTACGAAAACGGGTCAGCGAGAAAAGTGGCTCTGAATACTAGGTGTTATGAATGAACCAGCGCAGTAGGGCGGAAATGAATAACGATGTGTTGAATCACTAAATGATGATACAAGGAATGGCAAGCCAAGATATAGGAACACCAGAGCTAGTCTAAGCGAGAGATGTGAAGGTTCGGGAAGGAGATAGAAGGGTCTCGAAGTTACAAAGCGAAGGTATAGAGAAGCCGATGCGGTTCTGTCAGAAAGGTCCGGAACCGTCTCGATGCTTCGAGTGTGTTCGAGCGTACGCGATAGCAGTACCGCTTGGTAAGGAATGGAAAATTCCTTACAACGGTTCTCATGTTTAGCTCTATTGGGTGCACGGTGGAAAATATCAAATCTCATAACCAGTACACAGCCAATAAATATCATCCAGCCCACAAGCGAGAAATCTAACAAGCAAGCAAACAAAAGCAAACGCAGAACAACCCTTTCACCAATGACTCCCCTACTCCCACTACCCCCTCCCCTCGTCCACAACCCACCATCTCTGCATACAACTCCCAGTGC